TATGTATATATACCTATACACACACACACACATATATATATATATATATATATATATATACGTATATAAACATACATATATAAGATACCATGCAGCGGTAAATACACTGATGCTAACTTGCACATTGCACGTTAGTATATTTCAGCGAATAAATACATGGATTATAAATATATACCAATGTACCATATGTGAGCTCATATCAGTGCATTTCTTGCTGTTGAATATCATTATATATTGCTCGTGGCGAGTTATTTGTGACCATCACAGGTATGATCGAGACATCGGGTTACGATTCAAAGTCATAATCGTTAGCATCTATCTCATACTCACAGGTTCCAGGTAAAAATGTGCGCAAAACATTAGCGGATGCTTTCAATGTGTGGCTTGAAGTACCGAAAGAGGAAATGGCCATCATCCTGGACGTGGTTAACATGTTGCACACGTCTAGTTTACTGTAAGTTGTGTGTAGTTTGCGTTTTGAACTCGTATGAAACACAAGGCGATTGATTTGAAGGAGATTCCGCCCCTCTCCGATCTATATTCTGGTATTCATTTGGGCGTGAAAACAGTTCACTCTTTTGTCGTGTCGCTTGCCTAACTATTGTCAAACTACATTATTCAATCACTGTGAACAGTGCTGACGATATTGAAGACAACTCGAACCTTCGTCGCGGTATACCAGGTTAGTGCAAATGCTTTTCACTGGATGGGCCTTTTCTATTGGACGTTAATGTTTATGGGAAGCTCAGTTTTTCTGCTCAATATTCAGCTGTTTTGTTTTTGTTTTAGTTCACATATGTAAGAATATCGCTGGAGAAAATCTGATGTAGTATCGGTATTTCCCTCTATGGCAGCCTCTTTGCTTATACAATACTAACAATCTTCACACTAAATCGCATTTCAGTGGCACATATAATCTACGGAGTACCCGCAACTATAAACAGCGCCAACTACGTGTACTTCCAAGCGCTTGAGCGTATCACCGAGATGGATAACATGGAGGCCCTCCAAATATTCTCCAAGGAGATGTTAGAATTACACAGGGGCCAGGGGAAAGACATTTATTGGAGAGACAGTAATAAGTGCCCCCAGTTCGATGACTACAACGAGATGGTCATACAGAAGACTGGTGGTCTCTTCCGGCTCAGTGTGAAACTGATGCAAGTTTTCAGCCAAGATCAGAGAGATTATGTTCCCCTGTTGAATACTATGGGTCTATACTTTCAAATCAGGGACGACTATGTAAATCTTACCAGCACGGAGGTATGTATGCATCATGCTGCGCGACAGTTTGGTCGCAGCATTGTGTTTTTGCCTTGCTACTCTCGTTGGTCGCGTCAGTAACTAAGGCAATCATGGCATATCGGTCGTATCATGTTTATGTTGCGAGAGATCGAGTTACGATTATGCCAGTCACGAACGGGACACTGTGTGTGTAACATGATGCATGTATGTACGTCCTGGTCGTAGTCACAAATCACCTTTCTTATTTGGCCCAGTGGATGCGATGTACTATACAAACAAGACGACGAAGAGTGGGCATCAAAAGTTGTCATCATCACCGATTTGCCTCGTTGATCATCTGTGGTAGACTGATCTATGCCCACATTTTCCTTTAAACAGTATATGAGCAACAAGAGCTTCTGTGAAGACTTGACAGAGGGGAAATTCTCATACCCGATCGTACACTCTGTGCTTAAGAATCCCAATGAGCGCCAGCTACTGAGTAAGTTTGTTGTATACATACAATAGTGGAATTCAGTGCCTTCATGCTGTTTTGACTTTGTTATTTGTGGATTTTGCAGCTGTTGCTTTGTACGTAAAATTCTACCATACCGTCCGACATTTGACGATTTCGCTATGATATGCTGACGCTTCTGTCTTTGCGCGTCCTTTAGACATATTGAAACAACGCACAGAGTCTCGAGACGTCAAGAAATACGCGCTGCAGCTCATTCATAAGTCGGGCTCTTTCGAGTACACGAAAAGGGAGCTGGATAGACTGGCGGATTTGGCGCTAGAGATGATCGATGGTCTCGGTGGTAACAGTGCACTGGAAGAACTGATTATGACACTGAGGCATGTTCATCTCCACAGAATGGATAGTGAGTCCTTTTCTGTGTAAAGTTTCGATTATCGTCGCTTTTCGGGGCGGGTTCGGCAGTGTCGTCACATCTTGTCCAGGCGAATCGTGAGCTATAAATCCATCTTATGATCCTTCAAGAGAGACATGACATCAACAGCTTTGGATCACAGTCACCCCTTCTTTTGATTCCTGACAGTAAGATTCTGCCTTTATTAATAAACCTTCAGTGTGAAGTACATGACTTCATCAATGAACTCTCACGTACAAGTAATTATCAGTAGATCTCGGATCTACCTTTGTGACCACTAGTCGACCACAAAGAGTGTCAGTATATGGGCCTCTGTAAACCTTCATTGCGCTCGATTTCATATTAAAAGATTTGACAAGAATTTAAAGTATATTTCGCTTCGCTACTCCTAACCATACCCACAGATGTCGAGCAGCGAATACAAGTCTTATATGATCTTTGTGAAAATCATTTTATCTGACGCTGCTTATGTACGCTCTTGAATACTACATCGTTCGCCAAAGGTGTGTTGAGTCGTGAATATCAAAGAGAGAGTTTAACTTTATTTCGTGTTCGCCAGCAAGTACAACTCGCGGGACACACATCACTCACAACCTACTACCGGGAAATTACAAACTACTCGCGCAGCTTGTGAGAATTGCTCTTTCCGATTCAGAACTTGCAATCTCTGTTGCGGTAGACCTTCTTTCTCCAAGTGACCTTCTCCATTAATGGGTGGTTGGCATCAATGGGTTTGATCGATGCTGAGTGGCACTGACTGACACACTCCTGGCACCGCCCCATTAAATTTGCAGCGCAGATGTTGAGCTGATCGTCTGCTTCTTGATCTCCAGGGCTCGAAGCCTTGACAGCGGCGATGATCTTGAGCTGCTCAGTGATAGTGATCAAGTAGTAAGATACAAGTTTAAACAAAAGTAATATACGATAACAGTATTCAAATGAGTACGATGATACTACATCAAATTATCATCTTACGGTCCTTACTTGAGCTCCGATGGTTTCCATAACGGCGACGGTATTCAGCAGATTGGCTTTCAGCCTCTTGTCGGCACAGTTATCGGCAAACTTCGTAGCGAGCTTAGCCATCTCACGCGCATCCGTAGAGATTGTTTTGGCTAGCGTGATCAGCTCGCGCTTGCAGTTCTGCTGGCCCTCGAGCACAGCCATCTTGTTGAAGGACTCCGCGATTTTCTTTGCCAGACAGATGATATCATTGTCGTTCTCGTCCCACTGATTTGCCTCCTCGTGCAGTGCTTCGGCCGCCTGTCCAATCGTATTGAGCTCGAACTGCTTCTTCTCCTCCTCCTCTTGCAGCAGTTTGACCATCTTCTCCTTCTCCAGTTGCTCCAGCTCAGCAATGCGCTCGGCTTCTGCCGCCTCACGTGCTTTTCGCTCCTCCGCTTCACGTTCCAATTTGAGCTTTTCGTTCTTCGATTCCTCTTCGCGGCGCTTGATCTCCAACTCCTTCTGCACCCTGCGGCCCTCCTTCGCTTGTAGCTCCTTTCTTTCGATATCGGCCAGACTATCAGTACAGCCAACAGCGTTGCATGCGACTATCACTGCTTTCTCCATAGCAGCAGCATCCTTAGCGAGCTTGGCCTTTGTGGCCGAATCAGCGTCATTTCCATCTTCAACCACCTTCTGAGAGGATGCATTGAAGGCATTTAACGCGTAGGTCAGTGCCTGCCCGTGAGTCTTGAATAGATCTTTCTCTGTGAGCACTCCGGTGCGATCGGCTTCACCTGCGAGCAGCTTGTTGAGCTTATCCGCTCGTTGTTGTAAGACAACACACGCGGGAGTGTATTGACCCATGCTATGGGCTTCAGCAGCGGTCTTGACAGCTGCAATATCTTTGAACATACCTTCCTCCAAAACACCGACAGTTAGGCCTTGATTCTCAATAGCCCTATCGGTCGCGTCTTCAAGCTTATCCATTTTTCGATCCCACTCTGACTTCACCATGCTTGCATGAGCATTTAGAGCCTTGTCCTCCGGGATGCTTGCGGCCATTCTACAAGTAGCAGCGAGAACCGGAGTATAGCCCTTCACGTCATCCATGGCTTCATTGACTTTGTGTGCCTTTTCGTCATCCGTTGAGAGATATGAGATTAGGTTCGATACACCTATTGGGTAACAAGGATGTAGTTGAGAAATCAAGCGATTGTAAAGGTCACGTTGTGCAGTAAACGCAAAAGTCGGTATATCTCGACGGAAGCAATACTATGCACGATGTGTAATTGCTTTTCATGAGTTCTACCCAAGTGGTATATCTCGACGGAAGCAATACTATGCACGATGTGTAATTGCTTTTCATGAGTTCTACCCAAGTTGTAGTACCTTCGCAAAAATATAATGGGTTTGCTTCAAAGGTGCGACTTGTCTTCACGAGTACAACTAAATCCCCAGTCAAAGGCAAATAGTTTGTGAATGGTACGGTGTTAAAATACATACCCTCCAATGCGTTGAGATCATCCTCTAGTGCAGCCAAGTTCGCATCAGTCTCCTTAGGGTCTCCAGTCTTACCAGCTGAAATCGCTTCTGTTGCGTGTAGGCGAGCATTGGTCACTAGCTCATTGTTTCTACGCGCTAGAGCACGCTTCGACGTTAGTGCGAGCTCGCCAACGCGCTCGTAGAGTTCTTGAGATGTCTCGGCTACCTGCCGATGGCACGCAGGGTCGTCGGGGTTTTCAGACAAAGCCTTGAATGCCTGCGTCAGCTCTTTCTGGAGTGAACGGCAACCAGCAATATCCGCTAATATGTTGCTCTTTTCCTCTCCATCCTCAAGTTTCTTGGCTACAGCCTCGCAGTCACGGAGGAATTCATCGAGTGTTGATAAGAGTGCATCACTGGCTACTTTGTCGCCTTGCTTCTTGCCCAGCATCATATCTTCCAAATGTCCCTGCAAGGCAGACAGGATTCTGCCCTACACCACTGCTGCCGTGACCGAAGAAGTCCTCCTTTCTGAAGAATTTCAGCTGAACGAGGAATCGCAGTTTGTTCAAGGAAGAAGATATCTGCGACAATGTTCCATCTCTGGAAATCACCGCGTTTTCATTGTCTTTGTGCAGCAGATGCGTCTTGCACGCTGACACCATCAAAGGACTCACACTCTTCACGGCCTCGATTTCCATTTTCACGCTCTCCAGATGTGTACCTTCCTGAAGCTGAGCGCGTCGCTTCTCCATAGATCGCGCCACCTTAAGTAAGCTGAGACTGACAGCTTTTACCTCCTTTACAAGCTCTGCGGCAGTTCCAACCCTGCGCAATGGCTCTAGAGCTGCCAGACTCTCGTCGATTAGTTTTACGATGTCTCTTACTTCACTTTCATCAAACGCTTCGAGGAGATCGGTGGTTCCTGATAGAATTCCTTGTGCTCCTTTCGCGAGAAGCTTCATCGCATCTGCATTCAACTTGTCGTCTTTCAGAATATTTGTAGATTCTTCTAGTTCGTCGGCGGATCTATCCACTTTATCTGCCAAGGGAATTCCTTTCTCTGTTAGGATGGGATCATCGCCATTACACATACCTCGCGCATCTCTGGCCAAACTCTGTGAGTTATACAAAAACCATCATGAGAGTGTGTCGTTGAACCTTATGTATTCGATGCGAACAGTTAGATACCAGGTAAAATGTTTTGTATACGGTTATAGCATGTTGATACAAAGTAGACAGCCCATGTTATCGTGAATTCGAACACGTCTGCTTTATGATTGCGTTTATGATTATCAATTAACAGGCAAAAAAATAGAAATGCACTGAAAGCCATATTAGCTATACGCTACTTGGAGATGCAGCAAGGTGTAGCTGATTATAGATTCTACTGCATAAGTTGAACTCAATGTATGTATATACCAACTTCACAAGCAAACCGCCCATAAACCATATATTTTCATGCGAATGATTATGAATGATTGTTTGTCTACACGTATATTAGTGATGATGAGGCCCCAAAACTAGGCTAGGAAAATCTTGTTATAATACTTGAGTATAGTACAACACATGCACAAACTTCTCAGAGTATACAAACTATTAGCATCAGCAATAAGAAAGTGTATACGAAATCATCATCAACCACCGAGAAAA